GGGAAACTCCCCTTGGGCAGACTGGCCACTCAGAACACAGTCATCTGATCCCATCATGGGAACAACCACACAGAACTGGGGTCCAGCCAAGTTGACACACAGCTCCAACTATCACAGGGTCTGTGTAGTTTTTCCTGCCTATCCTGCCATCTTGCCAGAACCGGCTCCACTGAAACCTGTTCAGTATCATAGCAGCACACAAGCTTCTATCAACAGGTGCATGGTGGTTGCACATGAAGTGCATTGACTAGGAATCGAATCTCACTCTCCCATATGGAAGGTGAGAATCCTGTCACTGAACCAGCATTGCCCTCCAAGACTTTTAATAGTTATTGCAAATCTTCAATATCTTTTATGAGCAGCCATCTGACCACATCCTCTGCCATTCTCAGCAGGTGACCTTACCTTTATGTTTACAGAGAAAATAGGCTGGAGCAATCTTACATATTTATTTCCCCTTCCTTGTACCACTTCTCAGTATTTGCACTCAACTTTCTCTCACTCTGCCCAGTCTTATTGGAAGTATTATCTAGGTAGAGGGAAGTATTATCACTCTATCTAGAACTAGAGCCTTTACCTGTGTTCTGGACCATACTCTCCTTAGCTCCTCAAACACCTGGATCCCTCTTCTATTTCTCTGCCTCTAATGAGGTAGCTAGGAGCTCTGGTAGTATAGTGGTTAAGGCATTTAGCTGCAAACCAAAAGGGTAGTGGTTTGAACCCACCAGCTGCTCTGTGAAGAAAGAAAGCACAGTCTGTTTCTGTAAAGATTTACAGCCTTGGAAAACTGATGGGGGATGCTGTGAGTCAGAATCAATTTGATGGCAGTAAGTCTGGTTTTGGTTTGGAATGAGGTAGCTAAGCAAATGGAAGAAATGATAAAATAAAACAGCTGAACAGAAGATTACAAAAGACAACTTGAGAACACAAAGTAAGTATTATAATGAAATGTGCAAAGACCTGGAGTTAGAAAATCAAAAAGCAAGAACATGCTTGGCATTACTCAAGTTGAAATAACTGAAGAAAAAATTTAAGCCTTGAGTTGCAATACTGAAACACTCTGTGGGCAAAATATTGAACGATTCAGAAAGTATCAAAAGAAGATGGAAGAAATACACAGAGTCACTTTATCAAAAAGAATTGGTCAACGTTCAACAATTTCAGGAGGGAGCATATGATCAAGAACCAACAATACTGAAGGAAGAGATTCAAACTGCACTGAAGAAACTGGTGAAGAACAAGGCTCCAGCAATTGGCAGAATACCCATTGAGATGTTTCAACAAATGGATGCAGTGCTGGAGGCACTCACTTGTTTAGGCCAAGAAATTTGGAAGACAGCTACCTGGCCAACAGACTGGAAGAGATCCATATTTGTGCCCTGCTAAAGGGCAAGGAGGTGGCATCTTTTGACCTCCTCTAACTACATAGGGAGCTCTGGTAGCGTAGTGCCTAAGGCACTGCTAACCAGAAGACTGGCAGTTCAAACCCACCAGCCACTCTTCAGAAGGAAGGTTGGGCAATCTACTTCTGTAGTGACACAGCCTTGGAAACCCAAGGAGGGGTCACTATGAGTTGGGGCCAACTCGATAGCACATAATAACAACAACAACAGCAACAGCAACAACAACTAACTACATAAGAGGAATACAGAATCATCAACAGCAGCCTAAAGTCTGTTCCTATGAGGCCAGACATGCCGCCTTACCAACCTTGACAGCCAGCCCTCCAGCCCTCTTACCAACCTTGACACAAATTGTGCCTTCCATAGCTCCCACCGCCTCTTTGCTGGGTTTGATAATTCACTGCAGTGGCCACACAAAACTCACAGATTATGGGGTTTATTAGGGAAGCAACAGGCTACAATTCAAGTTCAGGAACATGCTCAGGATACAGTTCCTCAATCAGGACAGTCTGCCCTCTGCTGTGCCCTTAGACACACCTCTCTGGCCCTTAGCCTCTCAGCGTGGCCTATGCTTCTGTGGGCCAGGTAAGCCTGCCATCTGTCCCCTGCCTCTTGGTTCCACTGCTGCTGTTCTTAGCCAGGCATCTCTCTCAGCCGAGCATCTCTCTCAACTGGCAGTGAGATTTCCCCCTTCTGCCTCTAGGAGGGCTCATTTTAAGCCTGGCAGAGTGGCAAAACTAACCAATCCCACCAGTAGAGTTCTACATAACTGAGAGAGAGTGAACTTGACCAGAAAATTACTTCGTGCTGCTCCAACAGAAATACCCCAGGTGGATGACTTTAACAATTGAGAGTTTAAAAGCAGCTACTCAGTTGGTCATGGAAAATTCCACCACAGAGTTAATTGCCAGTCTCATTGTAGAAAATAACTACTACCATCTGCCCAGCCAAGTTGACACATATTTGCATGGTCCCACCCAGTAATCCGGTGGGAGTTATAAAGACTATGGCTAGAAAAGCCACAGCATGTAACTCACTACACTGCATGCCCATTCCAAAGAAGGTGATCCAACAGAATGTGGAAATTACTGAATAATATCATTAGTATCACGTGGAAGTAAAATTTTGCTGAAGATAATTCAAAAGCAGTTGCAGCAGTATATTAACACAGAAATGCCAGAAATTCAAGCCAGATTCAGAAGAGGGTGTGGAATGCAGGATATCATTGCTGATGTCTGATGGATCTTGCCTGAAAGCTAAGAATACTAGGAAGATGCTTACCTGTGTTTTATTGACCATGCAAAGGCTTTCGACTGTGTGGATTATGAGAAATTATGGATAACATTGTAAAGGATGGGAATTCTAGAATACTTAATTGCGCTCATGAGGAACGTGCATATAGACCAAGAGGCAGTCATTTGTATAGAACAAGGAGATAGATACTACATGGTTAAAGTCAGGAAAAGTGTGTATCAAATTTGTATCCTTTCACCATACTTATTCAATCTGTATGCCAAGCAAGTAATCTGAGAAGAATTTTATGAAGAAGAACATGGCATTAGTATTTGAGGAAGACTCACTAATAACCTGCAATATGCAGATGACATACCCTTGCTTGCTAAAAGTGAGTAAGATATGTGATGTGGCACTTACCAATTTAGATCAAACATCACAGCCTTCAGTATAGATTATACCTCAACATAAAGAAAACAAAAATCCTCACAACTGGACCAATAAGCAACATCTTGATAAATGGAGAAAAGAGTAAAGTTGTCAAGGATTTCATTTTATTTGGATCCATAATCAATGCCTGTGGAAGTAGCAGTCAAGAAATCAAATGATGTATTTCATTGGGTAAATCTGCTACAAAAGACCTCTTTGAAGTGTTAAAGAGCAAAGGTATCACTTTGAAGACTAAGTTATGCCTGATCAAGCCATGCTATTTTCAATAGCCTCATATGCATGTGAGAGCTGGACAATGAAGAAGGAAGACTGTAGAAGAACTGATGCATTTGAATTGGTGGACAGACTGCCAGAAGAATAAACAAATCTATCCTGGATAAGGGAGTTCTGGTGGCGCAGTGCCTAAGGCATCTGACTGCTAACCAGAAGGCTGGCGGTTCAAACCTACCAGCCACTCCTTGGAAGGAAGACTGGGCAATCTACTTCTGTTGTGATACTGCCTCAGAAATCCAAGGAGGGGTCTTTATGAGTAGGATCTGACTTGATGGCAGTGACTTTGATAAAGTGCAGTCAAAATGCACCTTAGATGCAAGGGTGGTGAGACTTTACCTCTTGTACTTTGGTCATGTTATCAGGAGGGACCAGTCCCCAGAGAAGGAGATCATGCTTGGTAAAGTAGAAGGTCATTGAAAAGGAGGAAGAACCTCAACAAGATGGACTGACATATCCAACAATGGCTGAAGTATAGCAATGACTGTGAGGATGATGCAGGACTGGGCAGTGTTTCACCTGTTGTACGTAGGGTCTTTATGAGCTGGAACCAATTCAACAGCACCTAACAACAACAACAAATGAGGACATCTCCTCTCATCATATTACATCTTCTATCTTTTATTTCTTGGTGTTTTTCCTTTTTGTCCTTTGGTTTTGTGCTCCAACAGGAAGAAGGGTACTCCATTAGTTATCTCCCTTGGCAAAGTATCTCCTTCTTTTGTTAGGATTTGGGTCTCCTATCCTGAAATGAAGGCACATTGATGGCACGGTGGTTAAAGTGCTCTGTTGCTAACCAAAAGTACTGTGGTTCAAACCTACCAGATGCTCCACAGAAGAAAGATGTGGCAGTCCACTTCCATAAAGATTTACAGCCTTGGGAACCTTAAAAGATGGTTCTACTCTGTCACTCATAGGGTCACTATGAGTTGGAATTGACTCAAAGGCAGTGGATTTGGCTTTATTTATTTAATCCTGGAATGTATTTATGTTATTCAAATACACAATGCATAACAAACTCTTTTTATCAAATTTGTACATAACTGTAGCCACTAAGGAGTCCCCGAGTAGCACAAATCGTTAAGGTGCTCAGATGTTAACCAAAAGGTTGAGGGTTTGAGTCTGCCCAATGGTGCCTTGGAAGAAAGGCCAATGATCTACTTCCAAAAAATCAGCTACTATAAACTCTGGAGTGTAGTTCTACTCTGACACACGTGGGGTTGCCATGTGTTGGAACAGACTTGATGGCAGCTGGTTTGGTTTTTTAGCAGCCACTTAATTATTTTTATTTAGTTTTGCATCACTAATTCCAAACCAAACTCACTTCCATAGAGTTGGATCCAACCTCCTTGGGTTTCTGAGGCGGCATCATTATGGAAGTAGATTGCCCAATCTTCCTTCCAAGGAGGAGTGGCTGGTGAGTTTGAACCACCAGCCTTCTGGTTAGCAGTCAAATGCCTTAGGCACTACGCCCCCAGAGCTCTCAGTTGGAATGAAGTCTCAGAATTTCTATAGGCCAACAACTTTAAGTCTGTTTTAAAGCAAAAGTAGATTACTAGACATCCAAGATGATGTCTGTGACTGATCTCTTTTCTCTCTCTCTAACCTTCCCCTCTCTTCCTTCTTCAGCCATTGCATACTCACACACTCATACTGGTCCTGCCTCCACAGATTGGGGAGGTTGGAAATGGTTTCAAGGTAGGGCACAACGTTGCTCAGAATAATTCCCGCCAGTACAGCCTGTGGGGAAGATAAACCCTACTTCATTTTCTGTTGAGGGTTAAAACTCCCAAGTTCCACAAAGGAACAACAAAAGGTTAGTCAGCGGAAACAGAACAACCAGAATGGAAATAATGAAAACATCGACACATTGTGAAAAAGGTAACCAATATCACTGTATAGAAATTGTTAAAAGAGAACCTAATTTGTCATGTAAACTTTCACCAAAAACACAATAAAACAGGTATGCACTGCATAATGTCCATGGGGTGAGGAGGAGGGGCTTGCTTGAAAGGGCATGAGGAAGCAGGGCCAGCATTGAGTTTGCTGGGGGACAGGGGTGTGCTGCAGCTCAGCTGCAGCCCCCACCGCATCCTCTGCCTGGCTTGCAGCTTCCACACCACTACTATAGACCACTGCGCAGGTGGGAGACACTGGGCTGCAGCTGCTCTGCTCCATCCCTCCGGGATTCCAACTCCTACCAGGCTCTGGGGGCTGCTAGGGGCTGCTCAGAGAGCGCCATGCCCAGAGGCAGCCAATTGCCGGTGCGAATCTGCAAACTGCTAGGCTCTGGGTGCTAAAGAACAGCCACAGCAGCTTGTGTATGTGTGCAAGTCACTTTGATATTTGTGTATCGAATATGTACAAACATGTTGTTGTTGTTGTCGTTATGTGCCGTCGAGTTGGACCTGACTCACAGCGACCCCTCCCTGGGTTTCCGAGGCAGTATCACTACGGAAGTAGATTGCCCCATCTTCCTCCCGAGGAGTGGCTGGTGGGTTTGAACTGCCAGCCTTCTGGTTAGCAGTCAAGTGCCTTAGGCACTATGCTACCAGAGTTCCTATATAATCAAATTGGAACATCAGAAAAGAAACTTCCCACCTCTCCTATTGTTATTGTTGTTGTTAGTTACCTTAGTATTTTCTAAACATAGTTAAAGGGCACATTAAGGAAATTAAAAAGGAAATGATAGTCACTGAGCATTGATCTATATTGTAACTTAGAACAAACTGATTACAGCCAGTAATCAATACACATGGCATCTCTAAGTGCAAGTCTCCCCACAAAGGGAAGAAATGGCACATTCCTCTGGTGGTGTAGTGCTGAAGGCATTTGACTCCTAACCAGAAGGCTGGCGGTTCAAACCCACCAGCCACTCCTCATAAGGAAGGTTGGGCAATATACTTCTGTAGTGATACCACCTCGGAAACCCAAGGGGGGTCATTATGAGTCAGATCCAACTTGATGGCAGTGTGCTGAGTTTTTTTTTTTTTTTTTTACTTCAACACAGAGTTAAAACTCAACTTTTAGACCCTGCCTTCTAGTTTTGTGAACTAACCAAGAGGAAATGTGGGGGCAAAAGAAGGATTAAATCCACATGAACAAAGACCAAGGCTTTCTGGAAATAGTTTAGGAAAACAGATGGCATAGGTGCACAATCAGTTTCCAAGGCTGTGTTTGTTAGTACTGGGGGTTCTGGTATCTGAAGTCTATTTTGGTCATTTTAAACTAAATCCTTACCTAGTAGATTAAGCAATAAAAACGTGATTGAGAATGAGAATAACAACAATAATAATTAATGTATCTTAAGCACTTATAATAACCTAACACTGTTCTAAATGCTTTATATGTTACCTGTTTAATTCCCACAACACTGTGTGGAGCTCTGGTAGCACAGTGCCTAAGGCACTTGACTGCTAACCAGAAGGCTGGCAGTTCAAATCCACCAGCCACTCCTCGGAAGGAAGGCTGGGCAATCCTACTTCTGTAGTGATACTGCCTCGGAAACCCAAGGAAGGGTCACTATGAGTCGGGGCCGACTCGACGGCATATAACAACAACAACTGTGTGGTAGATATGAGAATTTAAAGGAAAAGTATAGAGATAGGGTGGAGTAAGCACTGGGGGAAAGCTGAATGTAATTGTCAGAGATGGCCCACTGGGATGCAAGCCAGAGATTGGGTCACTTACGTTTGGCAGTTGGTAGAAAAAGCGTCCCATCTTCACCATCAGCAGCAGCATCACACCTGCGCCTACCAGAGATGCAAACTGAGGAGACAGAGCCGGTTGGAGAGAGACCATCAGGAACGTATTGGTCCATCTGCAACCGAGGCCTTCTGCTTGGTGAGAAGCAGGTAATTTTTTATTTTCTTTTTAAAAGAGTTGGGTGTAACCATTCAGCATAAATCCATTTTTGTTGAAATGGAATTTCCAGGTTTCATCTAAGTGCCAAACACATACTAGATAATAAATACTTGTTGAATTCAGCAGTGTATCTATGGAAAATAGCATCTATGGCAATTAGTTTTAAATTGCTGAATGATCTCTCACAGCTGGTAATGGAAACCACAATGGCCAATAGAAACTGCACACTGATGCCCCACTCTAGTGGCAACCAAAGCACGTACCACACCTGCCATATCCTAGATATGCCTCTGGTTGAAAGAATGCATGAATATTCTCTGGAACATTCCAAATTTCCTTGAGTATTCAAATCCTTATTGTCACAGCTCTGTGTCGGATCTGAAATCTACTAAAATCATGCTTGCACTTCCTCCTAACTTTAATCCCTCCTTGTCCTAATGGAAGGAGCTCTGGTGTCATAGTGCCTACGGCATTTAACTGATAACCAGAAAGTTGGTAGTTTAAACCCACCAGCCATTCCACGGAAGCAAGACTGGGCAATCTACTTCTGTAAAGATTTACTGCCTCGGAAACCCAATGGGGGTTGCTATGAGTCAGAATTGACTTGATGGCAGAGTTTGGTTTTTTTGGTTTGTCTTGGTGAAACAGTGGTTAAGTGTTTGGCTGCTAACTAAAAGATCAGTAGTTGGAAATCACCGTCCACTCCATAGGAGAAAGATGAGACAGTCAGCTTCTGTAAAGATTTATAGCCTTGGAAACCCTATGGGACAGTTCTAATCTGTCCTATACAGTCATTATGAGTCATAAGTAACTCAATGACAATAGGTTTGCACAATTTATAAAATCTCTACTAGACTCCTCACTGACAGCCCTAAAATCCCAACTATTCCACTTTCCCATATAAATAAATACACTATCCCTTACTCTCCTGCTCAGAGCTCAGATAGCTTCCTATCTAACAGCTTAAAAATATAATTATAATCACTTCCCATTTTCCTACTTCAGTTTGTTTCTATTTCACTGGCACTAAAAAACATTACAAATATGAATAACGCTCATGTAGGGTTAACAACTCTGGGCTCACTGTCACTTGGTAAGAAGTGACTGTGATGTGGCAAATAAAGGTGGGGAGCTAAGAAACATAGTTTCCTTTATAACCTCAAGGCTCTCTGGACATAGTTTTGAATTCACTATATCCTCTATTGGTTAAATTTCCTTTTTATTTATCCCAGTTATAAAAATAATTTTAAAAATATATAAATAATTATATAATAATAAATTTATAAAAGCTAATATAACTATATAAAATCATATAAAGCAGTGCTGTTTTCTATTGTGATGGGGGGTTAGTATGTAAAACCACAATCACAAATTAAAACGATGGCATATATAAGCAAGAACTGAGGGAGTTCCTTAAATGTAGCCCATTCAATAACTACTTAGCAGTGATTCTCAGATTTTTCCCTTAGTTTTTTTTTTTTTTTTGCCATGTAAGAAATACTCTTCCTACTGGGCACTCTCTCACTGCTCATAGCTATTTGCCATATAAATGGATCACTGAAAATAATAGCAACGCAATCAGTGTTCTACTTCCTTCTTTTCACTGCTCAGCTGATTCATGGCTAACAGAAGCAGCCAAATGTAAAAAACCAGACCCACATGAGAATAGTGTAGGAAGAAAGATTCAGGGAAAACAATCACTATAAGTGAAACTCAGAAAGCTCTAATGGCAAACATTTCATACACTGTGGAGCTGAAACATGTAACTGAACCCATAACATCTCAGCCTGTTGCCAGATCTAATTTATAGCTCAAGCTTTAGGTACTTATTGTTGGCACTGGAGAAAAACATTTCTTTGATTAGCCCAGGAAAATATCTAGTGTTATCTTTCCTACTACCTCTTCTTCCCAGAAATCTTCTGACTTTCTAAAAAAGGGAAACAAAGATATGCAGAAGCCAAAATAAGTTGTATAAAATCTAGATTAAAATGAGAACAAATGAGACACCGAATCCCATAAAATTTGCTTCTCAGAGAGGGAGAAGAGGCCTTCCAATAATACTGTGTCCACTCAGTGGCACACTCCAAGGCATGGGCTTTGGGATCAGAGGACCAGCCTTGGTGGTATCATGCCTTAGGAGGACACTTGATGGCTCTCAGAATTTCAGGTTTGGTGCTGGGTTGCGTCTAAAGACAGAGAGCATGATAGAACTTTACATCTCATGCATGCTTTCCTTTTCTCCTCTGATTTATCCTTTTTTTTTTTTTTTTTTTTGCCATGCTTTCTTAGCTCAGCCTACTCCCCAGGGATTCAAGGTTATGTAAGAATGGGCAGGAAATCCCAACAGTCATAGCCACTATCAACATGCAGACCCTCAGTCAACAATTGCTCCATATCATGGGTGGAACAACAAGAAAAAAGTAAGACAGTAGGTTGCTGAGGACTTGCCCTGGCACTAGGAATTTGGGGTAGAAGCTATGATTTTTGAGTGTCTCTTAAATGACCAGCATGATTATCATCTAATTTAATTATCATAGCTGAAAGGTTGGCTTTATCCCCATTTTACAGATAGACAAGAACTAGAGCCTCAGGGAATAAAATAATTTTCCCAACATCATACATCAAGGAAATACAGGGCCAAGTTTCAAACCCCCTGACAGTCTGACTCCAAAATCCAGGTTTTTTCCATTGTCCTACCTGCTTCTTCTAAAAAAATCTAGAAAATATTTCTCAATTCTGTTAAAGTCTGATTTATGTATTTTGGGTTTCTTTCCATAGGTATTTATTGTGGTTTTATCTTCTTGTTCAATTGATTCTTTAATCATTATATAATATCCTTCCTTGTCTCTTATGGTGGTTCCTGTCTTAAAGTCAATTTGATCAGAAATTAATATTGCCACTCCTGCTCTCTTACAGTTGCCATTTGCTTGATATATCTTTTTCCAACCTTTGATTTTTTTCTATTTTTGTAGACTTTCTCTCTAAGGTGTGTCTCTTGTAGACAGCATAGTGATGGGTTATGTTTTCTTATCCAGTCAGCAACTCTCCATCTGTTGAGTGGTACATTTAATCCATTGACATTCAATGTAATTACCAACAAGTATGAATTGGTTGCTGTCATTTTGTTATGTGTTTTTTCATGGTGTTCCTGGTTTCTTTGTTCCATATAATTTTCTGTGCTGAGCTCATTTTGTTTATGAATCATGTTATCATTTCCTTTGTTGCTGTTGTTTTAGTATTTGCAAAATATTTGTGCTTGTCCTCTTTTTCATTGTGATGTGAAGGTTTATCATATTTCTTTGAAGTTACCCTGTGATCTATAATTTTCTCCCCGAGTTTAGAATAGTCCATTCTATCTTGCAACTCTCTTGACTTCCTCACCATTTAGAAGTTCAGTAACTATGTTATTTTTTCCCCTCTTTTTGGTTTGTACTTGTCCTCGTTTGTCAATTGATGTCTCTGGTTCCCTGTTTACAATCTTGGAAGCTTATTTTACTTTGGATACTTCCATAACTGGGTTGGTTTCTGAGTTATGTCATCATGTGTATTAATTGTTGGTTGTTGTTTCCTATTATTGGTTCTCTGTTCAAAGGACTCCTTTTAGTAGCTCTTGCAAGGTTGGTCTGGTTTTAACGAATTCCCTTACTTTCTGCTTATCTGGAAATCTCCTAATTTCACCATCATATTTCAGGGACAATTTTGCCAGGTATATAATTCTTGGTTGAAAATTTTTCTCTTTCAGGGTTTTATATATACCATCCCATTGCCTTCTTGCTTGCATGGTTTCTGTTGAGAAATCAGAGCTTATTCTTACTGGCTATCCTTTGTAAGTAACTTTTTGTTTTTCCTATGCTGCTTTCAAGATTCTTTCTTTGTCTTTGGTTTTGATGAGTTTGATGATGGTATGTCTTGGTGATTTTCTTTTGGGGTCTATCCTGTTTGGGGTTCGCTGGGTTTCCTGAATGGATATATTCTCATCTTTCATCATATCAGGGAAGTTCTCCTCCAACAAATCTTGGACAATTTTTTCAGTGGTTTTACTTTTGTCTTTCTGATCTGGAATTCCAATGACATGTAGGTTATTCCCTTTGATGATATCCCACATGAACTTTAGGCTTTCTTCATTTTGTTTTGATCTTTTTTTCTGATTGATCCCTTTCCAAAGAAGTATTCAGGTATTTGTCTTCAATCTCATCAATTCTGTCTTCCATTGCATAAATTCTACTCCTTTGCCCTTTCAATATGCTATCTATTTCTGACAATTTAGTATTAATCTTCTGGATTTCTATCTGTAGATTTAGAATCATTTCTAATTTTTCATTTATTTTGTCATTTTGTTCTTCTATTTTCTTCCAAAATTGTTCTAGGGTTTTGTCTGTTTTCCTTAATTTTGTCAGTGTTTTCCTTGATCTCTCTCTCAATCTGTTGAAGGTACCTAAATATAATTCTTTTGAATTACTTATCAGGGAGTTCCAATGCTGCTTCTTCCTCAGGGATGTGTTCTGGGTCTTTATCCTGGTCCCTTGTTTCTGTTGCTTTTTCTTGCTTCTTTGTGTGTACTGTAATGGTCTGTTGTCTCCAAGACATTGTGACTTTTTGTATTAATATTTAATTGGTGATTGTATGTTGGAGTGATTTACCCAATATTTTCATTTGTATGTATCTGAGTAAGCAGGTATGGTAGTTAAAGTTGTATGTCAACTTGGTTGGGCCTGGTTGAGTGGCTGGGGAGCTGGTGGTAGTTATTCCCCATGATGAGTCTGGTAATCAAGTCCATGGTGGGATCTACCACAAGCAGCTGAGTAGCTGCTTTATGAATGTGGTCTACTTCCCATACATAAGCAGCAGCTTTGGGAATGGTCTCTAGGTTACAGCATGCTTGAACCCTGCATATAACCGTGTTG